TGATGCCTTCCTCTTCAGCTCAGACAGAAGATCACAGCAACGTCTCAACTGACCTCTAAACATGAATCGATTCAACAAAAACTTTAAAGACCAAAAACTTGTTTTGGTCAATAACTCACAAACTGATGGAGGTCGGATTTAGGAAATTTGGGGCCCTAGACAAAGACAGGCAGGGGGCCTCTGAATAGAAAAGACAACACATAGAACAGACCCATTCTACAGATAGAGAAATGTTAATAGAATAGACATCCATTACCTGTTCTAGGTTGTGTCCCTTTTCTTCTTGTTTTCCTCTCTATGTTTTGTACTCAGCTGACTTTTCATGCTGTCTCTAAAGGAATGAAAGATTTTTTCCAAGCACTAAGCTCACTTAGCTGATTGCTCCTTCCTGTGTTTCCAAAAAGGCCAAAGTAAATAACCCAGTCCTTCTTTTCACTGTAGACAAGCCATGATCTGCTTCTCCGTTCTCCATTTTTCATTTGGATGAAATAATAGCTGCATGAATCATGACAGCAGACAAGATAGAGGAGAGCAGGAGGCGGGGTTACCAATCTATTCGCTCTGGAGAGCAGAGTTCGCTGCTTTTAGATGTTGTCTCCAAAGTCTCCAGTAGCAGAAAAAAGTCTCTAGATTTGGCGCTAGGAGCTTTTTAGAAATCAAAGTGCTAGAGGGGTCTGAAAAGTGGCTAAATATAGCGACTAAAGCGCTAAGTTGGCAACACTGCTCTTTGCATGGTTTGTTTTCAAATGGTTTGCTGCTGTCTGTTTGGACCTTTCTGAACATGTGCAGCAAATGGACCGATCCAATATGGTGGACACTGAAGGGGGGGGGCTGAGACACACTTAATATTATCAGCGTTCTGATGGCATTTTAGCCAAAGGGTTTTTATCAAAAACATAATTAATGTCACAAATAAGGAATAGTTGTATTAACCATACCTGTAAACAGAGCTTAATGGGGCCCGTGGAACTTGTAACCCCCCCCCTCTGATGGGGAACGTTTGGACACCTCGGCCTCTGATGACTTCCTGACATAATTTGCTTGACATGAAGCCGCCGCCTGCACCTCTGATGTCCCCAAACAGAGCCTCTGAGGACGGAGCATCAGGGCCACACTGGGAATCTTTTGTTTAATTACAGAATAAATAAAGTAGTAATAATATGAGAAAAAAGTTGTTTTGATAAAATAGATAAAAGCTGCAAAAAAGTAAATCAAGTTTATCCAAACTGCTGCAGAAGGAAGGAGCTTTTCACAGAATGTAACGTTAGAATCGGCTGTTTGGATGTTTGCTCTGCTGCTGCTTCGGCCACAAAACACTTGGAAAAAGAGACAAATTGGTTTTCTGGTAAAATGAAGGTTATATGAATAGAAATTAAGAGTTTATACAGTTTAATAAGAAAAAAATGAGCGGTTCACATCATGGAAGACAGACAACTCAACATAGAAGAACAAACTAGGCATCAGCAGAACCCTCCAGAAACAAGGATGGAAAAGCCTCTGATTCATGTTCACATTTAGAAGATCTCAGAAGGAACTCCAACATTGAATAATCCAGATTAAAAAAAAACATTCTCCGCTCTTCTCTTCTCCACTGCAGTAAAGATCTTGGTCCACGTTTGCTTTGAACAGCAGCTCAGATAACAAACGCTTCCAGCAGAGAAGCGTCCCTGAGTTTAAAAGATGCTGCTTTAGCTACTGGACTGGGAGATTATTGCACTTATTCTCAAAAGATTAAATAATGTAATGTAATCTGCCCTTTCTTAGTAAATAAATCTGAAAACAAGATTTAAAAGACATTCTGGATAAATTATTTGTTGGAAAGGTTTTGCAGTTAAGAGAAAAGTTTATGAATCAGCCTTAAAAAAACAGATATAAATCAATTCATCTATTCTTTAGTCATCATTTAAGGTGGAACCTTCATCTGGAAAATAATCCCTGACATCTGGGCTGATGGTTGGAGACGTTACCTTTAAATCCACCCACAGATCTGCCTCCTGATCAACAATCACAGCCTTATTTCTAAACTCATTACCAAGATGTCACCAAGCGGCTCCGGCCTGCTGCCTCCTGATTGGCAGGTCCTGAGCGGGTCCATCCCAGGCCTTTTCTTCTAGAACTCAGAGCCACATCATGGAGGCGTTGGTGAGACGCTTTGCTTTGGACTCCATCTGCTGGTCAGGCGCTCTGCTTTCATGTTTGGATGTTTTTTCAAGTTGCTCCAAGAAGGGAGAGAAATAAAAGCGACGCTGCAGTCAGATGTAAATGGGCAAACACTTCAAAGCAGCGCGAGCGCAGCTGGAGGAATAAAAATCAAACATAATGTCCGACCCGGTCCAGCCGCCCCCAGGTGACACCGCCAGAACCTCAGTCGACAGCGCGGCTCTTCACCTCCGCCACCAACAAAACAAACCAAACCAGCGCGTGGAGGTGAGATCAGAACCACGGACAGCTCCTGAGTCCGTTTGGATGGCAAACCGAGGCGCAGAGATTTACTCCTCTCTATCCACAGAGTTCTGATCCAACCAACCAGAACCGACCGAGCTGCTGCAGGACGAGGATGAAGCCAAGAACCTTTGGAACAAAACATCAACTCTGGAAGAAATGAACTACAGCTGGATTTTCCTTCAAGAAGCAAAGTTTCCCTTTTTTTAAGCAGGAAAACAAGATTATCGGAAAAAACACGATTTAAGTTTATAAAAAAAAAAAAAGCATCTAATTCCAAGCACTTTATATCCAATTATCTAGATTAAAGTTAAAGGGCAGATCATCTTCTCTGCTCAAATCATGGAAAAATAAACATCTTTTAAGACTTTTTTATTTATTTAAAGTGGTAGGGAAATCATATTTAAATGTCAAATCATTCTGGCTTAAACTTGTATATAAATGTTCTCTTTATCAGATTATATTGTCCCAAAAATTTGAAAAATTCAATTTAAAAACTGAAATCCTGTCTTAAAATCTGTGGGGCTTTTTCCCGTTATCTTCTGCAGGCTAGTTAGTTCTACATCAGCCTGAACACCTAAATTCATCCAATCATATATCAACGGTCATCTGTCAATCACATGTTTTCAGTCATAGCATCTTGATTCATGTGTCGCAGCTAATATACGCAACGGTTGAAATCAGAATCCTTTCCTTTCCCATTGAGTTGCGTCCCAGTGTTCACGGGGATGGACGTCTGTGTCTTCGGCAGGCGTACAGCTAACAGAACTGGCAGCGTTGCGAGGCAAGGGCTCAAACATGTACGGCTGGAAGCCTTCTACACCAAACCAAGCTTCTGCCGCCCTGGCGTCCTCTTCCACAACATCTTCGTCCCCGCTTTCCTCCTCTAAATAAAAAATGGATGACGGAGGAGACTCATCCACGACCTCCGACACTAAACTCTCCTCCTCTTGCATGTTTCCTCTGTCCATAGCGTTCCTTGACAGCGTCGTTTCTAAGTCACCAATTTAGTGCTACTTGGTCCCAATGGAATTTCCCACTGGGAACCTGCTAGCACCAAGATGCTAACTGGTTAGCAAGATGCTTCCGACAAACCGTCCACAACCAAACTTCCTTGAGAACCTTCCCCCACAACAATCCCGCCCCCTTGATATCCGACCAATCACATTCACTTTATTCACTCGTGTAAAGTCGGGAACCACTCGGGAGAATTCAGAAATGAAACGGTTGGAACGGCCGCTTCCCTACGACTAAGTTTCATGGTGAGAAGAGCAGAGGCTGAAGCCCTGAACATATCAGCTGCGTCCGACCTTTTAACCTCCGGATTACGATCAAGTAAAATGATACGACTGGCATAAAATCAAATACAAACAGCATAAAAATAAAACAACAAGCCAGTCCCATCTAGGCGTAATCGGAGAAAATGACTGAAGAAGTGTGCTCCTGATGTCCAGTCTGCTCCGTAGCTTTGTTTTGGTCGCTGTAACCGCAGAAAATCTGCTTCACAAAGATAGGATGTTATAAATAGGATGAGTCTTTACCTGAATTAACCTGTGTCAACAGGCACAGATGCACCGACTGATGTAATTGGGAGAGAATACCGTATTTTTTCATATTTTTCAAAATAAAACATCACTGAGACTCTGATCGTCGATAAATTATATATATACATGTACTTTTTTCTGTGCGGACCGGTGGTTGGGGACCGCTGGCGTAGAGGATCAGTGATAGTCAGGTCTTTCTGTGGCTCCCTCTGCTGGCCACCTTAAACTCCATAAAAGGAAGATGGAATCTGTGCTCATTTAAGAGTTTTTTTTTTTTTTCATGAATTGTTTTTACTTATTTAGTGAATATTTGTTTTACCTATGCCTGAAAAAAGGCTCTTAAAGGAAAAGTCACTCATATTCAGAATTCAAACTTCTGAAAGTTCTTTAAATCTGAAATGATTCCATCCTGTTCAATAAATGATCAGTGTTTTTAATTCAGAGTAATTTCCATGTGAATGTGCTTTACTGGAGGCATCCATGTTTGTCAAAGAACACTACTGCCACCTACTGGTTAGTGACGTCACGGTGCGGTATCGGCTGTTGATCAAGTCCCAGTGCTGTATCTGGTGTTTGGAGGATGTTGTTGATTGCAGATGTGTCTAGTAGTCCCCATTGATTTAGCTTGGAAAGCGGGGAGAATGGCGCTAGGCTTACCGCACCGTGACGTCACTGCTGGAAGATGGCAGGAGGGAGGGGCTACTATATTTGGGCAAAAATGGCCGCTCCCAGACTCAGTGATGAAAATTATAATTTATTTATTTTTTCTTTTACTGATTAACGCTAAATTTATTAAATCACGCAATCTTATTAGTTCTGGGTATAAATAATGATCCATTGATTATTCCTTGTTGACCGGACTCCCTTTAAAAACTGAAAATCACACCATCATTATTTTTCAATGTTTTGTGGACTTTTTGCCACGTTTTCTACATAGATCCGCCCCGGACGAGAACCCAGCAAGGCTCCTCTAACCTGCTGGTTTTCAGAGAAGAACCCAGAAAAACATCCTGATTTCAAACTGAATGGCAGCAGTTTTATTAAATTAAGAAATCGACACATTTAAGAAATAAATCTATTTACACTAGTTCTACTGCACAGATTAAAAACAATGGAGCGAGCAGAGCTTCACCGTCACGTACCCATAAATATTGATCCCAGTTTATTACAATCATGGCAGAAGAACCGAGGAGCAGCTGCTGAAGCTCGCTGACCCGTACGGGAAACGGTTCGGTCGGATCCGGTAGAACCCGTCCGCTTCCAAGCTGTTCAATAATACTAACGGTTCAGAACAACAACTAAAAGTGGTTCCCGGTTTGAGTTCAGACGGTAAATAAACACATGAGCACAGTTAGTGTTAACCAGATCCGGTTCAGTCCGGTTTCCTCAGTGTTCCTCTTTGTCCCGGCCTTTCTTCTCCTTCTCGTCCTGAAGCGCGGTGCCCAGCTTCTTGATCAGCACCGACAGCACTTTGTCCAGGGGGTCCATCACACCCCGCTGCAGCCACTTGGGAATTGTAGTCCTGGCGTGGTGGAAGCCCAGTTTCTGCAGGATGTAGTCCACGCCGACCGGGTCAATCTTCCTTCCGGTCCAGGAAATCAGCCTGAGAGAAGAAAGCAACGGTTTAACCAACGGCTGCTACATCAACCAACCTTCTTCCAGCTGTACGTCCATCTGGTTTCCTCAAACATAAAAGGCTGCGGTAAGAACATTAATAACCTCCATTCTCATGATGAATGAAGCATTTTTTATCTTCTCTTGGCTAATGCTAGCCATTAGCCAAATTTAACTCAGGAAGCTAAAAGGGTTCCGCCCAAAAACTAGACGGCTAATGTTAGCCCTGGCCGCTGCAGACGGGCTAACGTTAGCTAAGGGACAATTTTGTCCGACAATGGAGGGAGATGAGAGCGAAAAAGAGCAGGGATCCGGGTGGAAAAAGGGTCCCAGCGTTCTACATCTTCATGTTATAATAACAGACCAAACTACGCTTCAAAATTGGGCAAAAATCTGAAATATCTGCGTCATACCTGCAACAAGCTCACTGCGATTCACTGCTGCAGGAGGATACTCAGCGTTTAGTTATTCAGGAGGGAAAACAGGCTGGAAAATGTTCAACTTTGTTGGTATTTGATTTATCAAATAAACATATTGGAATAGAAACAATGTTTCCCTGTGACGGACAGGCGGCGCGTCGAGGCCCCGCATTGATACGTTTAGTCCATGTGGTCCAGCTTTACCCCGACTCATTTCATCTTGGAGGATTGAAGACCATATAACATGATAACAGCAGCATAATAATTGGGCTAGACTGCAGTAATATTAAAACAGCTGATCTGTTTTAGTCCAAATGCATGAAGCTGACCTGAGGGTGGGCTCCAGGTGCCAGGTGTTGCACATGAACTCCCTCCAGTCCACCGTGGTGTAGTTGATGGCTTCGTCTCGGTCCTTGTCTGCGGAGGCCGCGCTGTCGTCATGCGGAGCCGTGGGGCTTTTCTGGCCCTGCCGGGCCACGAACATCCGCGGAGCGAAGAGGGCTGAGGAGGAGGAGGTAGACATTTTAATCAGAAATGAAAACCAGACGATTCACTGATGGGCCGGCGGATCTGCTGGCGTCCGGGAAGCCGTCTGGTCTGCATCCATTAATCCAGCAGGAGAGAGAGGAAGCTTTTACGACACACAGAACAAACAGAGCGGGGACTTGGCCCGGTTATAATCGCGGTGAAGAATGCGACCGCAGCAGCATAAAGGAGAGCTCGTTTGTTCTTTTGTGACGCTCTGAAAGCCACTGAAATGAATCCGGAGCTCCCCGCTGTGAGGAGCTGCTCTCCATGACAACAAACAGCTTCCAGCTGCAGCGCTCCGGTCCGCTCGCTCGCTCCCACCCGCCCTGAATCCAAAGACATAAAGCAAACCTTTCTCCTTCTCCTTCAGGTAGGCAGACACCAGGTCATGGAGGAACATGATGAGCTCGGCGTCCATGGTGACGCAGATGTGGTCTGTGAACTCCGTCACCATGCTGCACTCCACTTTGGGTTTGCTGCTGGAGTCTGAAACAGAGACCAACATCAGGAGCCACGTTCCTCTGGGGCCCAATCAGAGCAGAGCCCATCACACGCTCCTACCCGTCAGAGACGGCTCGTCTGAATCCTGCACGTGAATGGACTTGAAGTCCAGCTGCATTCTGGGAAGGGCGAAGATGGTCTCGGTTTCGTGGTCGTAGGTGTGGGAGCCCCGGAAGTTGCTCAGCAGGCTGGAGCTCTTGGCGGTGGCGCCGCTCTCCTCGGTGTTGGCGTCGACGTTCCTCAGCAGGTTGAGCTCTGAAAGCGGCAGAAAGCAAACGTTGTTCTCAGGTGTCTGCAGAACGACCAGCTTCAGAGCAACCAGAAGGTTCCTGCTGCTGGCGGCGTACCGAGACAAATCTGGCTCCTTTTTTATTGTACTTTTACTTTTACAAGTTTTTTCATCTTTTAATGTTTTAATTTAAACTTTTTTCCAAATTTATTTATTCAATATTTTTTACAGATGTATTGTCAAATTGTATATTTTTATAACTTTTTACATATTATATTTTTTGGCTTTTATTTTGTAAAATTGTAATTATAAACATATATTTTTTTTTTATGTTTCACATTCTGAGGCCCTGAAAGCAGAAACCAGCAGAGGAAGGAGCGCGTTGTCTCGTACCTTTGTTTCTCATGGCCGTGACGTAGTTGAACCATTCCTTCACCGTGGCGACTCCATGCGGGGGGTTCTCGTGTCGCCCGCGGGTGATTTTGGTTATGGTGGCCATCGGACTCTCCAGGGCGCCGCAGGGCTTGGTCACCATGGTGTTGTGACCCAGGTGGAAGTCCAGCGTCTGCACGATGTAGGTGGAGTCGTCTTTAGAGCCTGGAACGACACAGGAAGCAGATGGGATTACTGTGTGACCAACATGGTGTCCGTCTGCAGAGGCGGGGCGTTCGGGTCTCACCGTCCTCCCAGATCTTCTGCGCCTCCGTCCAGAAGGCGATGTTGGGCTCCTCCAAGTGGAACAGCGCCCACAGCTTGGAGCGGAAGTTGGGCCCGTGGAAGCAGGCCAGCGTCATGTGGTTGCCATGGAGACTCATGGAGCCGCCCAGCTGCACGGCGTCCTCGGGGAGAGGCATCTGGAACAGGGAGATGTGGCAGCCGGCGATGACCTTCAGCACGCCGGGCCAGTGGCGGTGGTGGGCGGCGTCCACGTCTGCGGAACAGATTGGAAACATAAGAGGAGGCGGAGCGGCGGTCTGAGCAGGATCTGGTTCTGTCTGGTTTGATCCTGCTGCTCCTCTTCCTCCTGATCACCCGCTGAGCTCGTCTGATTAGATTCAGCCGCTACACAGACCCAGATAATTAGCATCAGTCATCATCTCTGCAGTCGTCTCTTACACAGCTCCGCGGCGCCTTTCTCCGCGTTGATGACGGGGGTTTTGGGGGGCAGATAGGGGCCCGGGCCCCACGTGGAGAGGGCCCGCTTGCTGGTGTCGAACTGCTGGGTGAAAAACTCCTGCAGCTTCATGCCGATCTTGATGAGGTCTGGCGTGGTGGAGCGGGAGATGATCACCTGGAAGATGTCCCACTGCAGGTCGCCGTGGACAAAGACCACGCTGCGAGGAAGGGAGGGGGTCAGAGTTACCGCGGCGTTCGCAGAAAGCAGCAAACTCTCCGACTCTCTGCTCACGTACCTCTTCTCTGAGAGGCTGGTGTCCACCGAACACAGGTTGACCTTCCATTCGTCCTGGAGCTGCAGGTCGGCGTTGCTGAAGACGCCCATCAGGATGCTGGAGCCCATGTAGTCCACCCGGGCCTCCGTAGAGCCCATGGTGATCTGGATCTTGTGGCTGGGCTGCTGGTTTGGATGCTCAGAGATATGAGCTGCAGAACAAACACACAGAGAGAAGTTAACATCTTTTTGAACAGGGTCCAGGGTGTTTCAGGTGAGGACACCTCAGGTCTTCATTTCTATATTCTCTCCAGGGTGTTTGACCAATGCTTCCCTGGGGGTCCAGACACCTTTATACAGTAGCAGCCATTCAAAATGGCCGTTCCAGTCAAACGCCGGCCGAATGGGAGCAGAATCCCCTCCACCTTCCAGCCACTGGCCGCCTCCTGGGCGTGCATTTTTTTTTACTCTGACTCCACCCTTCACTGAATTACAGGGTCTGACCAGGAGGTGGCGCTTCTCTTCTCTCAATGTCCACAAATCATGACAGGAAGAATATTTTAGCACAAAGATTGATGTTTAAAAGAGATTGAAGGGGACCAGCTAAGGAAAGTGGGGAAATTTTGAATGGCTAAAACTTTAGGTTCTGGAAGAAATGATGGAAAGTTTGGGGAGATTTGTGCTCATAGTTTTGGGGATTTCTATGGTACTTGGTCGTATCATTTAAAATCATTAAAAAAGTAATGGTTAAATGTGTATATACTGGATTCAAATGTGTGCTTTTAAAAGGAAGTGAGGAATTTGTGAATGTTGTGTAAATAGCAAAGTCCTTCATCAGCTGGCCTTATTAAAGAAAAAAAATTGAACTGTATTGATCTCACATTGGAGAAATTCACTCTCTGTGCATTTAACCCCTCCCCTCGGGGAGCAGTGGGCTGCCATTGTGCAGCATCCGGGGAGCAGTGTGGGGTTAAAGGTCTTACTCAGGGACTTATTGGAGGCTGTGCGGATCGAATCGGGTAGTTGCAAACTTCTAAGAGCACAAGCACACTGCTCTAACCAGAACGCCAACACTCGCCTTTAAAGGCTGAGATTGTGTCTTTGATGGGAGGCTTGATGCTGTGAAGCTGAATGAAGCCTGAATAAGCCTGAATAAAGCGGATATTTCCACTTTACTTTGCCTAGTAGTCATTCGCCTGGTAACAGTACCTGTGTGGGCAGGTCTGGGTCAGAACAACGGAGTCTGTAGTGTCAGACCGTCACTTTGATCTCTGCATCCTGGTGTTAATTTTATAATCTGATCATGTACCTGTTCAACAGCTAAATTATCCACCTTCAAACCTTCAGCTGACGGAGGACCAGACTGACATCCTTTGGTTTGTATCTCGGTTTCTGTGGCTGCTCGAAGCGGACAGAAGTAGCTGCTTCTTGGAGAAAATCTTAAATATAATCAGGTCATTTTGTTGTGAACATCCTGACCACAGCACCGTTCCAGCGGCGCTGGAAAAATATTGTTTACCCTGATGATACAAGAGCGCTACATGCTAGCTCAAAGGTCCAGCTGAGCTGAAGAGTTAATGAGCAGCAGAAGAAGCCAGGAGACGAGGAACATCACTTACAGACCATCTCCAGGGTGTTCACGTCGATGTTGCCGCCCACCACTCCTCCCTTTGAGTCCAGTTTGGAGCGGCCGAGGCCCACAGACATGCTGATCTCTCGGTCCCGGTTGCTGCCGACAGACAGGCGGCCCTGACTTTTCAGACCACTGGTGGTCCAGCTGAAAGAGACAGAACCGGTGTCACAGATCCTCCATTGATGAACCATCTGCAGAACTTTTTAGCCCTGGGATTGAACTTTTAACTTCTTTTATTTTTCTACCAAGTTAACGAAACCCTTTTTTAAAGCAGTGCAGCCTTGGACACCTGCATGGCGTCATCCGTCGGAAGGAGCATCCTGAGGCCATCAATTATTCAAGCTGAGCACAGCAGCAGGCCTTGATTCTACAGCTCTGAGCTAAAAAGAGGAGACAAGGTGCGTCCGGACTCACTTTGCGGGGAAACAAAGCGCAGCAGACAGTCCAGCATTTGTTGTTCTGATTATTCTGCTGCTCGGACACAACAAATGTTCTAAAACTGCAGTAAGCTGAAACGCTGGACTGGGAAAAAAAGGATCCAAACAGATCAAGTCAGTAGAACCGAGCAGAACTTTCACTTATCAGGAAACTACAATCAAAGTTCTACCAGCTTCTGAAGATGGTCAGCATGTTGTTGAATCGTTTGCTTCTCTGGACCAAACATGGAAAAACAACGTTAGAAAGACGGCAATGAACCAAGAAGCTCCTCAACCTGAGCGGTTGGCCTTGGCTGTATCAGTATAGTACTACTATATACTAGGGCTGGGTATTTTCGCTGTTAAAATGAGGAAGTTATGTCCCCTAAAAAAGCCGTAGCGTCTCGGGGGCTTCCTCACGGTTCTTCTCCTGGGAGCAAGATATTAACTACTCTTAACTCAAACTGGGTAAAACCATATAAAAAAGGACTATAAAACAGGAGTTAAAAAGTAACCGAGTTTATTCCAGATCAGGTCGTTACAGGACAGAGAAAATGCTCGGAGCTTGCACAGCTGTGGGCTCAAAAATCACGTCCGCGAGCGTTCGGCAAAGTTTGAGCCCAGAACAAGGTCATCTCCTGCTTCTTATAGCTCATGAGTCTATGTGTTGCATCATGTTGATGCTTAGCTGTCCGTATCAGAAACTGACACGCCATCCATGCCCTGACCTTTATGCAGCTTGCTTCTATGCCCCAGGATTACAGATAGCTCTCCTCTATCAGTCCGGCTCCAAGATGTGCCCATATCCTGTGTATTTTTAAAGACATGAAGGCTGTCCTGATTAGATGACCTCCGTACACACAGTGACATCCACAATGTGAAGGAAGGCCTTCTACTCTGTCTAATAAAGTAACAATGCACATGATGTATAAATAATAAACCTAACATCGCCAAAGTCCTGAATCGATTCGATTTTGATTCGATCTGTTTTTACAAAAATGAAAGTGGTTCAACTGTGTTTCAAAATACTCATGTATTTTGTTTTTTACTGTCACTTTAAACAGGACAGTTTAAATATGAGATGTGAAACGTGCACAAGTGCAAACTTGTTTGTGAAAAGTGAAAATGTGAAGCCTCACTTGAGCGAGCAGACGTGACACAGCAGGTAATCATGAGCTGCATTATCTTCACTGCACAAACCATATTTGCAGCGTTAACTGTAACAACTACAGAGTGTTTTCTGGTCAGCCCCCTTTGTTAATGTCTTAACCCATTTAGGCCGGGAAAGCATTACCGCATTTCTACCATTCAAGCCGGGGGCGCTGTTACGTAATTCTACCATTGACGCCGGGAGAGCATATAAGTCAAGCAAGAAGAAAGAAGTTTTTTTCAAGCCAACATGGAGGAGTTTGACAGAGAAGAGTTGTCAGAAGGCAGTGATTTTGAGGAGTGTGTCGGCTTTGATGACGGTATAGATGAAAATGATGACTTTGAACGCGCTGAACCAATCGAACTACCACCGCAATGCACGGAGTGTTTTCAACCGCACACCTGGAGTGAAAGTTGATTTGCCTGCAGACGCCACACCGCTGCAGGCATTTGAGCATATTTTTAATGAAGAACTTTGAATGCATCTTGTTACCGAGACGAATAGGTACAGTGACCAAACAAACCAAACTCCAACAAGAGCAAAGATGGCAAAGTGGTCACCCGTGACTGTGACGGAGATGAAGACATTTATTGGGCTGTGTATGGGCATGGGACTTCTTGTGTTGCCAGTACGAAGAGATTATTGGCGACAGAGTAAACCTCTCTTCAGGATGCAGTTCCCCCAAAATATGTCCCGGGACAGATTTGTGGCCATCTGGAGGTAAGTTGTATGCAATTTATAACACAGACATATGCATTATTATGCATAATAATACTGTTAATAAGTAATCATCAGATAGTTATTTATGTAATGTTTGTTCTTTATTTTAAAAACGTTTTATATTGCACATTCTCAATGAAGACATGATCACATATGGAAAAAATAAAAGGTTGAATTTTATTTTTATTTTTTTTGATTACTGCTTTTCACTTTTTTTTTTTTTTTGGAAGAATTTCAAAGATAAAATATATTTTGAGTTCTATCTGCTACAGAAGCTGAGATATCAATAATTTACTAGGCGTTGACACAGTTACTGAATTTACAGAAAAACTTCAGGTTTTAGGGGTATTTTTTAAAATCGGCCATAGGTTTTTAAGGTGTTTTTTCCAGGCGTTTTAGGCCTAAATGGGTTAAGCTGTCTGGCTTGAAGTCATCTTGAGTGCATCTTTCCTGTTAATTTGAATGTGAACGTGACGCGCGTCACTATAAAATGAATCGATCTCATTCCCTAGACATCGATTTGGCAAAAATGTAAAGGAATCGATTCAAAATCGATTAAATAGAATTTTTTACTCAGCCCTACTATGTACTGTAATAAAGTAATACTTCTAGCCTGAACTGTTGTAGTAAGCTGTACTATCATTCTACAGTATACTATATCACTGTACTACACTAAGATAATGCAGAACACTCTATTTCAGTAGCCCACCATGTTAGCACCACAGTACGCTATAATTCACTTTCGTCCTCCCTGCAGTGAACGGAACCACCAGAAACAGTGGTTCTACGGTGCGGGCCCATCATCTTCCTCGTTACTTAGTAGTGCGTTCTTGTGTGCTTGTGAAACGTCATCAGCCTCAGCCCTAGTGCTGTAGTTAAAAGCCTTCAGCTGATCCAAAATGCTGCAGCCAGAGTTCTGATGAAAATGAAAAAGAGAGATCATATCTCTCCTATCCTGGCTTCTCTTCATTGGCTTCCTGTTAAATCCAGAATAGAATTTAAAATCCTCCTTCTCACATATAAAGCCTTAAATGGCCAAGCTCCATCTGATATCAGAGATCTGATTGTTCCTTATGTTCCTAACAGAGCACTTCGCTCTCAATCTGCAGGTTTACTAGTGGTTCCTAGTGAGGCAGACACCTTGTCTACTTTTAAGTGTTAGCCCGTCTGCGGCAGCCCTCGCTCCTGCCGAGCCGACTGATCCAGATTTATTCTGCGTTCTCCCAGAGTCCAGACTTTCCTGTGTTAAGAACAGATTCAGCGAGAACAGGTCCGTAATCGCATTCTTGTGAATTGAGAAGCGCCATAAAACTGGATGAGTGTTCAGATTGGTAACCAATAGCCATCAGACAGAGAGGGAACACAAACAAAAGTGTTTAAGACATTGAAGATTTCAAGAATCCCAAAACAGGAAGGAACTCGGCTCATTCTGAGGTTCTGGTTCCTGATCCTGGTATCTAATACCAACATGCTCCTCAGGATGGAGGGTTTCTATTCAGGGACAGAACCTTTAGGGTTCTAAGATCGTTTGTTCTGTTCAGACCCAGCATTGTGTTTGAAAGGAGGAACACCTACGTGTTGTTTCCCATCACGTTGCTCATGTTCATCTGCACGGTGAGCTGCTTCAGGTTGATGGCGAACACCACCAGCGTCTCCCACGGCGACCCCTGTGGACCAGACGACTTCCCGTTCTTACCAAACGACGGCGTTGAGGTTTTGGTCACAGAATCTGCAGGAGAAACGTGATTGGTCAGGAGGAACCCATCACCGTGACGACCACTCTGCTTGTTCGGGAGGCTCACCCCTCCTGGGAGCGGAGGAATCGGACACGCTCCGATTGCGCCCCGGCACGGGGGACCTCAGGTGGCCCAGGCCGCCGGGGGACATGCTGCTCCCGGCGGAGTGCTCTGTGAAGACGTTGGGGGAATGGGGGACATGCGTCCCCATGCTGCCGTCCCATGTCCTCCAGTAGGCTTTGCGGCTGGACTCGGGGGAGAGGTGCTGGGCTATGCTTTCAGCAGAGTCTGGGGTGGCGGGACCAGAAGCTGTGGAGGGAGGGGTCAATTATTCATCATTAATGCTGCACAGCTAGCGAAAAAAAAATCTGAACAAAGCGTCAGAACCACGACCAACAACCAGATCAGGGAGCGCTTACGGGGCAGATTGATGGTCTGGTCTCCCAGGAAGAGGCGCCTGGCGATGCTGCGCCGGTACCAGGCTCTGGGGAACGCCAGGATCTCACTCAGCCGCCTCATGTCGTACTTGAAGGAAGCCGACCCGATGTCACACACCGCTGCAGAGAGGATGACATCCTTGTTACCTGCTCTAAAAACTCACTTTGTGATACCAAAAAAAGTTTAAAATCAATCCACTGGACTTTGTTTCCAAGTTTGAAGACGTTTCTCTTCCATCCAGGAAGATTTTTATATTCAAAATGTCAGAAATAGCGTTCCAGGTTTTATCCAGCAGCCCAACGAAGCCTTGATTTAGTTTAGAAAACATGCAAATAGAAACGGATGAACGGGTCCCCCCTTTGGAATGGGGGTCGTTTAGCTTCTTTGTTAGCCTGCAATGCCCCATACCTGTCTATGTCTCTGAAAGGGGGGGTGTTAGAGGGAATTGTTGGCCTGGTTGAACAGGCGAGGTCTTCTGTTCCCCTGTAAGGGGGGGGGGGGGGGTGTTGCGATGATAGCGGGAAAGATCCTTTCCCACAAAGCAGAATCGTCTTAACTATATTTGGGCAAAAATGGACTCAGACATTGCGACGAAAATTATAGTTCTTTTTCATAATATTCACTCGGTGTCTCGCTATGGGATGCAGCCTCCTGCAGCCCTGATAGAAGCATCTATCTCAATCTGCCAATCCTGATTGGCCGGTGGAAGTGCCCGTCATACGCCACGCCCCGTAGCTCCGACTACTAAAGCGTGTGCGGATCACGGCACTCCAATTCAAAACCTCTTCTCACCTGAGAGCTTATCTCACGTCGGAGCCTTCGCTAGCTTAACTGCCCACAGACGGACCTTGCTAGTTTCCGTCGCCGGACGCTAGCACTGTGCTCTGGCTTCTGCCCTGTCCGCTCACTCCAGACCGGACCGGTAACCTTTTGTCTCTCTTCACGGCGGAATCCCTCTCGGCTCCTCTCCACGGCCGCTCGAGTCGGACGAGCATTTAGCACACCAGCTACTTCCTCGACCCCGCCACGCTAGCACGCCAGCTAGCTACGGTTCCTTTCCCTACCAGCACTCCAGCTCGTCGGGAAATGCCGGCCGTCCAAAACCCCCACGCCAGGGGAGACCACCGTCTTTGTGGCTGCGGGAATAAAATCTCAGGGAAAGACACCCACCCGGTGTGCGGTACCTGTCTAGGAGTCGACCACGCCAGGTTGGCCCTAGAAATTCCCGGCTCCTCTGGACACTGCAAAGTGTTCACGGTCAAGAGCCTCAGACGCAGGCTAGCCCGCCAGGTTAGCATCTCGGACCGTGATCCATTCCTCCCCACCGCCGCACAAGGTGCAGCCGCGGAGGAGGACGTGGACACAGCTGGGGAAGCCCCGGAGACTGACTACGACTGGGGTGCCCAGTGCGAGCAGCTCCATGCCCCCCCGTTTCCCGAGGAAGACGTGCTGGAAGTCAGTCCCATGGAGGAGGATGACGACACCTCGTTCCTCATATCAGAGGACGAGGAAGAGGATGACACCTTCATGGCCCCAGCACAGCCTGAGAGGCCTAAACCGCCGTGCCCTTCCGCCATGGAAGACAGGGGAGAGAGCTCACCAGCTCCCTCCCTCCATGTGGACCTGCTCGACATGTGCAAACGCGCGGCAGAGAAGCTGGAGATTCCCTGGCCGGTCGCAATAGCGGAGCCCACCCGGTCCCGCTACGAAGGCAAACGGCTTCCCCTGGCACGAAATGCGGTGAAGCAGCTTCTCCCTGTCTTCCCCGAGTTGCTGACGGAGCTCTCCAAAACATGGACTAGCTGCCCATACAGCAACAGGAGCCCTATTTCGGGCGCAGCATCCCTCGACTGCGAGGCGATGGACGCCCACGGCCTCCTCTCCATGCCTCCGGTGGAAGTCCCGGTAGCTGCGCACCTCTGCCCAGGCAGCGTGAGCCAGCTGTCTGCAGCTTCCCCCAGACGCCCGACGCTGCCAGCTAAGCCCGAACGGTTCCAGTCTGCGCTGACCGAAAAGGCATACAAAGCAGCAGCCCTCTCGGCCAGAGCCCTCAGCGCCCTCTCCATCCTCACTGCCTACCAAGCGGAGTTGTTTGGCGCGTCTGCTGAGGAGCAAGACCCGGATGCGTGGGAGGAGATGGCGGTCATCGCGGACCTGTCTCTCCGTATCCAACGTGTCGCGGTCCAGGCCACAGGGAAGGTGATGGCAACCCTCGTCGTCCAGGAGCGAGCGCGATGGCTCAGTCTCGCTAACCTGACCGACAGGGAGCGGGATGACATCCTGGATATGCCGATCGTCCCTGAAGGCATCTTCGGCTCTGCATTGGCCACAATGCAGCAAAGATGTGAGGCAAAGAAAAAGGACAACGAGGCCCTCAAACTTTGTCTCCCTCGGAAAGCCCCTGCGCCTTCACCTCCGGTGCAACGCAAAACCTTTGCGCATGCAGCCTCCCAGCCGCCGCGTTTTAAGGTACCAAGACGGCCACCACCGCCAGGGCCGCCCCCTCCGATGAGGAAGGAGCGCGGAGCCGGCTGGCAGGGGAAACCTGCCTCCACGACCGCTACGCCGCCGCCGCCCACAGCCGCCGCGAGCTCGGTCCCACAGGCGAGGAAGAAAAAGAGGGCGGCCTGACAGCCGCCAGTTCCTCAGTTGGTGCAGCCTGCTGTTCCCCGTTGCGCAGGCCCACCGTTTTGGCTTGTTTGTGCGCACCCCACGCCACCGTTGCCCATCCCAGAGCCGGTCTGCGAGGAGAAGGACATCGCCCCGGAGGTCTGCGCGGTTGCGCCCCGAGCGGAATGTCCAAAAGCACAGTCACACACCCTTGTTCAAAGAAAAAATGGTGTCAAAATAAAAATAAATCTGTCACAGCCAGGCCACGAGCCGAGGGTGCAGATAATAAAAAAAGCCAAAACAGACGATGCTCTCTCTATAAGCAGGGTGGCCGCTCAGCCCCCTGCAGCTCTGCTCCCGGGACGGGCACCGCCGTCCCCGCGGAGCAGAGCAGAGCGCTCCACCGTGCCTCCGGTGGTGCCCGAGAATCATTTCTCGGTTCCACCACAGGGGGGCGCGGGGCAGGAGCCGCAATATGTTCCCCCGCTCTCTCTCAGATGGGAAAGCTGGAGAGCAGCAGCAGCTCCACCGTGGGTGTTGCGCACAATTTCCCGGGGATACAGGCTTCAATTCGCCACTGTCCCTCCCCGCTTCTCCGGTGTAATACACTCACATGCACAGGGAGAATCAGCTCGAGTTTTACGGGAGGAAATTCTCTCTCCGATAGACAAACGAGCAGTTTCTGTCGTATCTCCCGAACAGAGTCTGTCAGGGTTTTATTCCAGATACTTCCTCGTCCCCAAACGGGGGGGAGAGGAATCCGCCCTATTCTGGACTTAAGAGCCCTGAACAAATTCCTGCGGAAATACAAGTTCAGGATGCTGACACATGCAGCTCTGTTGCGTCTAGTAAGACCGAACGACTGGTTTTCGTCCGTGGATCTGAAAGACGCGTATTTCCACATTCCCATTTATCCCCCTCACAGACAATATCTCCGGTTTGCCTTTCAAGGGGTGTGTTACGAATACCGTGTTCTACCATTCGGTCTGTCTCTCAGTCCGAGGGTTTTCATACGGTGCACAGAGGCCGCGGTAGCCCCGCTCAGACGCCGGGGGATACGTCTGGCCACGTATTTAGACGACTGGCTCCTGTTAGCGCAGTCAGAACAGTAAGCCAGGGTTCACACACACATTGTCACAAAACACCTGATGGATTTAGGTTTTGTGATAAATATGGAAAAAAGCCACCTATCTCCAACGCAGGAGATATGCTTTCTGGGATTATCCCTGCGCTCTGTTCCGTTCACAGCCCGCCTGTCAGAGGAAAGAGTGACGGTTTTCAGAACGTGCCTGTCACAATTCCGTCTGCACAGGTCTGTCCAGTTCAGACTGTGCCTTCGGTTGCTGGGTCTGATGGCCTCAGCCATCCTCGTGATTCGCCTCGGCCGCCTTCACATGCGGGACTTTCAGCGCTGGGTCGCTTCGCTCCGAATGGACCCCGTGCGTCATGGCGCACGGCGGATAACTGTCACAGCGGACTGTATAACAGCTCTGCGCTGTTGGCGAGCCCCGTCCTTCCTGACCCAAGGGGTGCCTATGGGCACCGTCTCGTCCAGGAAAGTGGTAACCACGGATGCCAGCCTATCAGGCTGGGGCGGCATTCACGAGGGCAGGTCTGTGAGGGGTCGCTGGAGCCAGGCCCTCCAGCGCCTTCACATAAACTTTTTCGAACTTTCGGCGGTGTTTCTTTCTCTGAGACACTTCCTCCCATTCCTCTCGGGTCACCATGTCCTGGTGAGGACGGACAACACGACAACAGTGGCGTATATCAACCGCCAAGGGGGCCTGCGCTCCCGCATGTTGCACAATCTGGCGCGCGACCTGATTCTCTGGAGCAGTACCCACTTTCTCTCCCTGAGAGCGACGCACGTCCCGGGAGACTTGAACACGGGTGCGGACCTGCTGTCCAGAGGCGCGCCAGTGTACGGGGAATGGACGCTGCACCCACAGGTCGTGGAGCAGATATGGGCGCGCTACGGGCGCGCTCAGATAGATCTGTTCGCGTCCAGGGAAAACGCTCGATTCGAGCTGTTCTTCTCTCTGAGCACTCTGAATGCCCCTCTGGGCGTAGACGCATTAGCGCACGCCTGGCCGCACGAGCTGCTATACGCGTTTCCACCGCTGGCCCTGATACCCCCCACTCTCGCCAGAGTGAGGGCATTCAACCACAGACTGATCCTAATAGCTCCGCACTGGCCAGCGCAACACTGGCTGGCGGAGATATTCCAGATGCTGTGCGCCCAGCCTTGGGAGCTGCCGCTGCGCAGGGACCTGCTCTCGCAGGGTGCGGGGACAGTGTACCACCCACACCCGGAGCGACTGCAGCTGTGGGCCTGGCCCGTGAGTGGCTTAATTTAACCACTGCCGGGCTCCCTCAGAGTGTAATTAATACTATCCAAAACGCCAGGGCTCCCTCCACTAGGAACCTATATGGCTCCAAGTGGGGACTGTTTGAGCGGTGGTGTCTTGAACGGGACTACGTTCCTTTTCAGTGTTCTGTACCAGCGATT